GCAGTGGACACGTTTGCGAATGCCAACATGGAGATGAATGATCTGGGCTTGTACACTTCCGATGACGACACCATGACAGCCATGTCGCTGAGCAGCGGCCAGCTGCGCCTGACTGCGCCCGACCCTGGCGCGTACTGGTACACCCTGCTGGCCAACGCCAATCAGTGCCGCGACATGTCCAGTTACGCTGCCATCCAATTCTCCATCCAAGCCCCCGTCGGAACCAAGCTCATCTTGCAGCTGCAGTTCCGGAATGACCGCTGCAAAGGCTGGGAAGGCTCCAGCGAGCTCCAGCTCGCAGGCTTTACCGGTGCGCAGCAGACTATTCGCGTCCCCTTCACCGACTTTGACACGGCAGTGCCTGCGTCTCGTCTGTTTGCCGTGTCAGTGTTTGGTTTGAGTGGCAGTCCTGCGCCCATCAGCATTTCGCTCGACGATCTGGTATTTGCCTGCTAGGAGAACGCGACTTGTATACTTTTATCGATACAGCATGCTTGCATCTTTCCTCTGTGCTTCTCAGATTAGTGTAGTCGAGTGATCTAGATTCACCTACAGGGTGGAGCGTTTTTTTTAACGGGAGTGCATTTGGCGTCAGATTCAAGGTTCAAAAAGACATGCGCATCCGAAACGCGTGGTCTTCGTGAAGGGGCAACAAAACAGCGACGGAGAGACTCATTCGCCCCTGAATGATTGAGATTCGAGCGAGCAGACACGGACGCTCCTGCCTTTGTTGGCAAGTCGAGCCAGATGGACGAAGGCGTCAGACGACCGCATTTTACTGTGCTTCCGGAAATTGGAACGCCATCAACATTGGCGCGGTCATCTTAATCTGCGATTCAGCACAGAGTTGATGAGACAACAAAGCAGGTTCTTTGAAATGTAGTCCTGGGGGGCAAAGTGGCGTCTCGCAGTGCGCGAGTCGCGTTCTGTCGAATAATGCTCCCACGTTTGGTCGAGGTTTGCAAAACAAACAAAGAGTAGGTGGCACAACTGGGGCAACCGATGAGTAAGGGGGTGTTTACATGGATAAATCAAGCATGTGGGGTTGGGCTGAGGATGGGCTGAGGATGGGGTGAGGATGGGGTGAGTCAGTGGTCAGGTTGGTTGTTGTTGCTCGCGACCAAAGAACAAACAAAAACAAAAAGCCCGACACAAGACCAACTTGTTTTGTTGTCTGCGCCCCTTCGATGGACAGCGTGCGCCAGTGCCGCCTTGTCTTCGATCGAGGGGTCGATCACGCTGAGTTTTGGCGATCTAGTGCTTGTGGAATGGTTCGCCTTCCACCCCTTCCCTTTCCCCTCCCCCCCCACATTCTGTCTGAAACGCACAGGCAAGCCCAAATCAACCAACCATAACACGTCGGGAGATTTGTGGTGGCGCATCACGTTTTGGGTTTTCTCCAAGAACGCAAACACGCATCACCAAACCCAAAACGCAATCCACTTCTCTGTTTCAACATCTTGCTTCTTTTGAAGTGATACTGTAGGCTCTGTCGCATTGAGAGGCTCGGCAATGAACAAGCGCACCAAGCGGAGCATTTTACGACCAGTGTTGCTATCGCAAATCCAAAAACAAAAAAAAAAAAAAAAAAAAAATACAACAATAAACAAGCAAAAAAAGCCGAGATATGTCACGCAACCACGTTGCCAACAGATCGCGCTGTGTGTATGTGTTGGTGAATTCGCGCTTGTGGTTGTTGGTTTGTCATCCCAGCTCCTTCCTGCAACGACAGTAAAAGCCCAAAGCGCACAGTCAAGCCCACTTTTACCCAACCAAAATGCTTTTGGAGGTGAATCACTCTTTTTGTCGCTTTTTTTTTTTTTTTAAACTTTTCTGTGCTTTCCTTTCTGGTTTTCCCCTTCTTCTCTCCAAGTAAGCCAAAACGCATCCCCAAACACCCAAACAGCGATCCAGACGCTCTCTTCCCATTCGCTTCCGTCTTTCGAAGTGAGCCCTGTCGCGCACGGCGAGGCAGCGCTGCAAAGTGGAGCATTACCACAAGTGTCGCGATGGCCCAAAAAAAAAAAAACCGGAAACAAACAAAATCCAAAAACACCTACCAAAAACAACAAACATTTGAAACCAAAAAACAAAAAGAAGTCGACGAAGAAGCTGCCACTGTTTATGTGATGCGATGAAACGACTTGAAATTAGCTGTTGTACCAAACAGCCGACCACCGTCGCCGAAGAGTGGAGTTTCAGCACAAAGGGGCCGCGCAAACACTGCCCACAGCAGAACTAGCCTGCGGTTTTGCATGCTGTCTGTGCCCTCCCCCGCACCCCGTGGCTTTGAGCCGCAGATGCGTCCTGTTGCAGCAAGTTGAACTGAGTCAAGGACAAGCAGCGACGGGGAGAAAGGAGCAGCGATGGGGAGCAGGGAACAGCGGAACCCATCAACAATATTTAAAACAAACAAAACAACAAAAAAAACAAAACCGTACACGGCAACAGAAAACAAATCAAAAACCCTCCGCACGCATCCGCAAAGGTGCAAGCTGTCCCAACCCGCGCTCTCTTGAGGGCGTTTCGTCAAAGAAAACAATGACATTGAAAAATTCTCAACCGAACAACAAGAACGATAGCAGCAACCATAACAACAATGCACACAAACTCAACGGAAAGCACAAAACAAAACAGAAAAAAACAAACAAAAATATGGTTTTTTTTTGTTTGATAAAGACAACACAAATACAAACAAACAAAAGTAGCTGATGCGTCATCTCGTTCTCTCCCCCCCCCAGGCCCCCTTCTTGTGAAGGCGCTGTATGTCAAGTTAAATAGTGGAAGAGATCAACAAAGCGCGCTGGAGGGCGGAAGGGAGGGCAGAGGGCAGCCAGGAAGGGCTTTTTGTTGCATTGAGTGTCTCCGACTGTCTCTTCCAGCTTGAAAGCCACTGCCGATTCAAACACCACTGCCGGTCAACTGTTGTTGAAAAGCGGCAAACTCACCTTGTACTGCAAATGTCTCTGATTCACAAAATTACCATCCTCAGATGACACCGAAAGGACTTGTCTTTGGGCTACTTGTGCTACTCGGCTGCGTGGTTCACCATGCCCAGTTGGCACAGGCAGCAAATGCCTGTGGCACTGACGGCGTGTGCAATTGCTTTGGGACTACTGTCGATTGCAGTGACCGATCTCTCACAACCATTCCAAGCGGAGTCCCAGCTGCCACAACGACCTTGTACGTGTTGCCGGTCGAGTTTGACGGTGCATTGAGGCAGCGGCTTTCTGATTTTCTAATTTGGCATCCGATCGATAGGGATTTGCGTAGAAACCTGATCACCAACATGCCCACCTCTACGCTCTCAAGTCTGACTGCGCTGAATGATCTGTAAGCAAGCAAACGCGAACATATAAACACATCCTCACACAACGGTGCTCACTCGTTCGCGAATCTATCTTTAGGTTCTTGGATGAAAACCAGATCACCAGCATTCCCGCCCCTGCCTTAGCAAGCCTGACTGCCCTGAATTCTTTGTAAGCAAGCAATGACGTAAACCCCCCCCCCCAAAAAAAAACGATACGGCTCACTCGTTGGAGGCGCCATCTATAGGTATATTGGCCTCAACCAGATCACCAGAATTACAGCGAGCTTATTTATAAATCAGGCTGCGCTGACTGAATTGTAAGCGAGCAACCGACAAGAAAACTACGAACGGACGACTCACTCGTTCGCAACTCCAATCTATAGGGATCTATCTGGCAACCAGATCACCAGCATTCCCGGCACTGCATTCACAGGCTTGACTTCGCTGACGTTTTTGTGAGCAAGCAAAACCAATGCGGAATCACATTCAACCAGCTAACTCGTTTGCCACTCGATCTGCAGGGCTCTGGGAGGCAACCTGATCACCAACGTTGCTGCCGCTGCATTCACCAGTCTGCCCGCGGTGCAACAAATGTATGCAAGGAAAGGCCGGAAGCAGTACATTTCGACGCCTCACTTGATTGCAACTCTATCTCTGCAGGCTCCTGGACTACAACCAGATCACCAGCCTTCCCACCACTCTCTCCAGCATGACTGCGTTGAGACAATTGTAAGCCAGTACAGACAGGAAGATTCACGCACAAAATGGCTCACTCGCTCCATGTCTCCTCCCAGGGATGTAACCGGCAACCAGCTCACCAACATCCCCTCTGCAATCGCAAGCCTGACTGCGCTGGTTTACTTGTAAGCAAGTAAATGCACAAAGAATCACCCACTAGCAACTGACTCGTTTGCAACTCCATCTCTAGAGCTCTAGGCGAAAACCAGTTTACCAGCGTTCCCGCAAACGCGTTCTCGACTCTGGCTGGCCTGACATCATTGTTCGTCAACAATGGCCGAAAGAATCGCACACAGACGACTCACTCTCTTGTGCGACTCTGTCTGTAGATTTCTAGACTACAATCAGATCACCAGCATTTCTGCAAACGCATTCACAGGTCTCAGTGCGCTGAAAAACTTGTAAGCACGCAAAAGTCACGAGGAATTACACAAATGGCTCACTCGCTTTGCTACTCGATCTGTAGGCATCTCTATGGCAACCAGATTACCAGCATTTCTGCAAACGCATTCACAGGTCTGTCTGCGCTGACACAATTGTAAGCAAGCAAACTAGCAAACCAACCAAAAAAAAAAACCCGCAAGCTTACCAATCGCTCACTCGATTACCCCTCCATCTGAAGACTTCTACTCGACAATCAAATTACAAGCATATCCGCAAACGCATTTACAAGCCTTAATACGCTGAGTTACATGTAAGTCAGCAAAAAGAGGAAGAATCACGCGCAACCGGCTCACTCATTGGCGTCTCTATCGATAGAAATCTGCAACGCAACAAAATCACCAGCATTTCTGCAAACACATTCACAGGTCTGGCTGCATTGACGACATTGTAAGGAAGAATGCTCTTTGGATGTGCTTCATTCGCCGCTAACTTTTTCGGTAACCTGCCAGGGCTTTGAATTACAATCCCTTCACCACTTTGCCGCCCGGGCTGTTTCAAGGCTTGAACAATGGGTTGTGGCTGTCGCTAGTAGATCAATTGCTGAGCCCGAACAACTTTACCTTTGGTGGGAACACCGTCGCTCCGCCCAGCACATACGGCAATGCATCGTACCCGTACAGTAAGTTGCGAGCGACTGCAATTCGCATGTGAATCCTCGAACTTACATCTGTTCTTCAGAGTGTGATACAGTTTGTGCTACCTGCCATACCGCAGGGAACGCTTCATGCTGCCCGACTAATTGTCTGACTTGCACTTCATCCAGCATCTGCACTCAGTGCTTTGGGGGCTACGTTCTGGTGGATGGATTGTGTGCTCCGCCTGCCTGTGGCACTGGCGGCGTGTGCACTTGCTCAGGAACTACTGTGGATTGCAGTCGCCGATCTCTCACAACCGTTCCAGGGGGAATCCCAGTCACCACGAAAGAGCTGTACGTGTTGCTGTCGAGTTGATCTGAATGGAAGCTATGCTCTCATATTTGGCATCCTCTCGAAAGGCATCTGCAAAATAACCAGCTCTCAAACGTCCCCGCCTCTGCGTTCACAGGCTTGTCTGCGCTCGAACAACTGTAAGCAAGCAAAGACATGAAGAATCGCACACAAACGGCTCACTTGAGACTTTCTGTAGATTTCTGTCTTACAACCCGATCTCCGGCTTTCCCGCAGCCGCAATCACAGGCCTGAGCGCGCTGACATCATTGTAAGCAATCAAAGTCGTGAAGAATCGCACACAGATTGCTCATTCTTTGGCGACTCTATCTGTAGCTCTTGTCAATTCACTCAGATCACCGAGATTCCTACAAACGCATTCACAGGCTTGATTGCGCTGCAAGGCGTGTAAGCAAGCAAAGCCATGAGTTTCACGAACTAGCGGCTCACTTGTTGGCGACTCCATCATCAGGTATCTAGGCAGTAACCGGATCAACAGCATTTCCGCCAACGTATTCACGGCCCTGACTGAGCTGACTTATCTGTAAGCAAGCAACGATACGATTATCAAGCACATGTCTCGCTCAATGACGGCTGTCTTTAGGGATTTGCAAAACAACACCATCACGAGCATTTCCGCCTCTGCATTCACAGGCTTGTCTGCACTGACCGTACTGTAAGCAAGCAAAGACATGAAGAATCACACATAAGCGGCTCACTCTTTGGCGACTCTATTTGTAGAACTTTGGCAAGCAACCAGATCACCAGCCTTTCGGCGAACACATTCACAGTTCTCACTTCTCTGACCATGGTGTAAGCAAACACTCTTGCTGTCTGGATTTTGATTCGTCTTTCACTTCAAGTTACTCTTAGAACTTTGAATGGCAATCCTTTCACAACTTTGCCGCCTGGTCTGTTCAAGGGCCTGCCAAATCTCTTGCGTTTGACGAGTTCGTACTTCTATTTGCGCCCCAACAATTTTACCTTTGGTGACAACACTGTTGCTCCGCCCAGCACGTACGGCAGTGCATCCGAGCCATACAGTAAGCTTCGAGTTGGTTGCAACCACTGAGGATCATTTCGCTGACATGTGTTCCGCAGAGTGTGATACAGTCTGCGCCACCTGTTATGCCGCTGGGTCCAGTGCGTGTTGCCCGAACAATTGTCTGTTCTGCACTTCATCCACTGTGTGCACTCAGTGCTATGAGGGTTATGGCATCTTGAGCGGATCTTGCGTTCCGCTCGCTTGTTTCCGCGACCTCGGCCTCCGTTGCTTCGCTCGCTACTGCAACTATTGCATCTGATGCAAGCGCGTCGTCCGCTTCCATTGCTTCCGTCGCGTCCACGCAATCTGCCTCGGCTGCCTCTGTTGCATCTGAGGCAAGCGCGTCGTCCGCATCTGTCGCTTCAGATGTTTCTGCGACCTCGGCATCCATTGCTTCAGTTGCTTCACTCGCGTCTGCATCGGCCGCCAGTGCTTCATCTGCAGGGCAGACTTCTGGAGCACCCGATGCCGCCAACGCTCGCAATGACTCCGGTGACGCATCTTCCGGGCCGATTATTGGCGGAGTGATTGGCGGCCTGCTCGCTCTCGTGTTGCTGGTGGCGCTCATTGTGACCCTTCGGCGCCGTCGCTCTCCAAAGGCATTGGCGCCCAGCGACACGGTTCCCAACACAACGAACAAACTACGCGAGTCAACAGGCGACACCGAACCGAATTACCAGGCTCTTGATCACAGCGGCGTGGTGTCGAACGTGGCGAATCCAACCTACGAATCTTTGCCTGCTACTGGCGACCATGCCTTGTACGAAGACGTTGGCTCAAAGCCCCGTCCTCCTGTGAGTTCGTCGGAGCTGCTGTATTCCGACGCATCGGTGTCTGGTGTCCTTTACGCCGATCCTTCGCTGCCCAATGCTTCGTCTGTTCGTGTGCCGTCTGCGTCCTCCTCAAACACTTACGCGACGATCGATGTCGCATCTTCGACGCCTGGTGGAAACGTCGATTCTGCTTAAATTGCAAACGCGTCCGTCCATTCATCCTGGTTAAAAAAAAACCTGTCTATTTGTCTCGTCTGTGATTCTCCGTCTTCTTGCATGACTTTCTTTGTTTTTCTCATGCCTTTTCCACTTTGATCTTTGCTTGGCTTGATGTTCAATTCGACAAGTCTTGTCGTTTTCGAGCAGAATGCCCTTTTGTCTACTTTTGGACTAGATTTCTGGTGACTCTGTCTTTGTGGTTTTTGAGCCTTAGAAGCTTTTCCACTCTCCAATAAACGTAACACACAAACACTTTGAGCGAAAGGACAAGCTGTCACGCCCGCAAGATGGACGTAGAGAATGGGTTGCAAGCAGTACAGTTGAGGGACGTGCATTCCGTCGAGTCGTTGATGCTGAACGCTCGCCTGCCGTCACTCTGCTGCTGCCCC